AGATGTGTACAATCAATATATAGATATCAATATATATATATATTTTTTTCAATTTGTTTTTATTAATCTACAAAATATTTAAGTACCTTGTTGGTGTGCTAAAATATTACTGCAGTTTTTCTATCAAATAACATGTAGACTAACATCACTATATTGGGCTATAAAAACTCACTCCCCCTGAATTGTTCAAGTTCAACCACCACACAAATTTGACCTAACCTTACATTTTCTTACAAATTCATGTATCATGCACAGGGACGTTGGCGACTGCAAGGCTCCGGCTTTTTTAATTTTTAATTTTATTTATTTATTTTTTTTTTGGGTGGGGAGGAGTTTGGTTAGAGGGGGATTTTTTGAGCGACGTGATTATATACGCACATAGTATCGAATGCATAGAAACATACATCTAAATCGGATTAATACAAATTCAAATTTTGAATCTTTTGGAATAACTTACTGCTGTTTGCAGGCTTCTCGAAAAAGACTTAAACATGGTGCTTTCTCTATTTGTATAGCCAATTTCGAAAGAAATGTTGTTGAATCTAACAAGTACTCTAAATGTAGATACACCTGTAACATAAAAATATATAAACAACAAATGTGTTTTTATAATTGCCTATTTTAAAGTTAACATAATATATTGTTTTTTGGATAACGTTAATGTTAGAAAGATTGGCTTTAGCGATTGAATTGAGGGTGGATTGCCTTTAGGAAGTGGAACATCATTTGCACATTTCCACTGGAATAGTACCTTACCAGACCTTATTGACTCATTAGTATGTCAGTGATTGGGTAACAGATTTCATTAGCACCCTCTTTCAGAACTTTTAGGGGTATTATATCTGTTCTAGAGGATTTCATGACAGAAATTTTAATAAGTCTTTTCAGAACATTCCATGTGTTGAATCGGGGTGGCGGTTCAGCACTGGGGAGATAAGCTGGTAAGTTTACCGGGGGAATTGGTTGCTGGGTTTGGGAGAAACTATCAAACGGTTAGTTTGTCTTATTAGCTATTGAGGTATGGTGAGTTGGATTAACATCAGGAATATTAATTGTAGGCTCGGCTCTTGCTATCCTGTCAAAGAGCGGATTTGTTGGTTCTACATGCCAGCATCTGATTGCTGGAGGTATCTTATTTTATTTACATTGTGTCTTGTTTTGGATTTTTGAATTTCATGATTAACCTGGTTCCTGAGTTTTTTTCCAGAGTACATGCCTGTAATGTAAGAATGGTTTTTGCCGTTCCTTTATTGTTTTATTTTTATCTGTCAGCCAAAATGTATCAGCATTATGCAATTTGACTATATTTTTAGGAAAAAATGTATCCATACCTAAACCTATGATCTGATATAATAGGTCAGCTTTGGATTGGTAAAACCTACCTGTGATTAATACTGTTGCAGTGTTAGACATTGCGTCTTTTGCATCCTGAGATCTAAAACCTACGCATGCGTAGTCACCCTGATCCTGCCCTTCCTCCAGTTGTAAACTATATGTTGGTCCATTGTCTGGTATATGCTTACCATTCTTATACCATTTGTAAAATTCAATGTTTTGAATCTCACATTTTAAAATTGAGATCGAACCAACATCGTTAACTTGCGATTCTGGGTGGATAATTACTTTCGGATCTGTAAAATCAATATAGGTAAGGTAATTGTAGTCTGTATCCAATATTGAACATAGGAGAATGAGCTGTTGGGAGCCAATTGTTCTAAGCTGCAACATTGTGTGGTAAGATAATTTGTGCTAACAGATTTTCTTAATAATCAAAAAATATAAAGAATATCCCTAATGAAAAAAAAATGTGGATGTGGTCTCTCAGAAGTGTTTTTAGTGGTTTCAAAGGCTTTTAATCGATATGATTTGGAGTCTATTAATAAGCAGAAAATACATACATTTGTTTTTTTCTCCCAGACAAATTGTGCTTTTTCTCCTTGCAGGTCTTACATTCCCTGCCTCATGCTGCCAGTGCATATGTGAAAAGGCCTATACTCTGTTGTGTTCTTTGTTACAGAAGCAGACTATAATTATTTTTTCTGGTTTTGACCCCAAAGATCACTTATGACATTTGACATTAGGCTGTTGCTACCTCAATATGGGAGGTGTCACCAGCTCTCTCAACAAGTTTGAATGAAATCGACCTAATTGTTTGCCACTAGTAGCGTTTTGAAATGGTGCCCAAAAAAACCCCATAAAAATGACTCCTTAATGGCCTTTAATTCCAAATCTCTGAACACAGTATAGACTCTGCCTCTTGTAAATTTGTTCATGCAAGTGCAAAACTGTACTATACCCTAGGAGCCAGACCAGGTTTTGTATGCACTTTGAGGTGCAGAGAATTTGACTTCAGAAATTGGTTCAGGGTGGTCCAAGAATTATTTTTGGCTTGGAAACATATTTTCAAAATGTGGCGAAAGGTCAAAAGGTCAGGGTCAAAGCTATAAAGTCCTTGTATCTCCGCAACCACAGGTGGTAGGGAGTTAAATTTGGTGCCAAATTGTTCAGAACATGCACATTTATTTTTGCTCTAATAGAACATTTTGCTAAAAAAATGACCGGAAATGCCATTTCTGACCTTTGACATGCTTCAAGGTCATAGCCATATTGTCGTTATATCTCCGCAACCACTGGCGGTGGAGGGTTAATTTTGGTGTGAATTTGTTCGGAACATTCATGTTTCTCTTTGGTCTAATAAATGAGTTTGCAAAAAAATGACCGGAAATGCCATTTCTGACCTTTGACATATTTTGTATATGATAGCCATTGAGTCATTATTATCTCTGCAACCACTGGCGGTAGACAGTTAATTTTGGGGCCAAAATGTTCAGAAAATACATATTTCTATTTGCTCTAATAAACATTTTACTAAAAAAAAAATGACCGGAAATGCCGTTTCTGACCTTTGACATGTTTCAAGGTCATGCCATATGGTCCTTATTTTTCCACAACCACTGGTGGTAGAGAGTTAATCGTGGTGTCAATTTGTTCGAAAAAGTCATGTTTCTATTTGGTCTACTAAATTAGTTTGCTAAAAATGACTGGAAATGCCATTTCTGACCTTTGACATATTTTATATATCATAACAATTGAGTCGTTATTATCTCCGCAACCACTGGTGGTAGAGAGTTATATTTGGTGCCAATTTGTTTGGAACCTTCATGTTTCTATTTACTCTAATAGACATTAAAAAAAAGTGCCGAAATGCTGTTTCTAACCTCTAACATGTTTAAATGTCATAGCCTTATTCCTTATATCTCCTCAACCACTGGTGGTAGAGTGTTTATTGTGGTGACAATTTAATCGAACATTCATGTGTCTATTTCTATCTATTATATATCTATATATCTAATGGAATACGGTAGTTTGCTAAAAATGGCCGGAAATTCTTTTTCTGACCTTTCACATGCCGACATATATTATTATTATTATTATTATTATTATTATTATTATTATTATTATTATTATTAAGGCATATTTATGCTTATCTCTGTACATACTTGTTGTTAAGACTTAATATTAATCTAAAATTATTCATTTACACATGTTTCTGTTTAATGTATTATCATTTTTTAAAAAACGTAATATGTTTATATATACAAACTACTGCATATATCTCTACAAAGAGATCCAGGCTTTTTTCCCATAGCATTGTTGTTTTTCAGTACTTTGCCTTTTAATACAATATATATATATATATATATATATATATATATATATATATATATATGCATATATATTTAAACATAACTGTATATACATGCATGCATGCATACAGCATGCCAAAATAGAAACATGAACAACAAACCGAACAAATTGACACTAAAATTAACTCTCTACCGCCAGTGGTTGCGGAAATATAAGGGCAATATGGCTATGACCTTGAAGCATGTCAAAGGTCAGAAACAGCAATTCTGTTCATTTTTTAGCACAATGTTCCATTAAAGCAAATAGAAATATGCATGTTCCAAGCAATTTGGCACGAAATTCAACTCTCTACTACCTGTGGTTGCGGAGATACAAGGACCTTATAGCTTTGACATTTGACCCTGACCTTTTGACCTTTTGCCACATTTTGAAAATATGTTACCAAGCCAAAAATGATTCTTGGACCACCCTGAACCAATTTCTGAAGTCAAATTCTCTGCACCTCGAAGTGCATTCAAAACCTGGTCTGGCTCCTATGGTACTATTAGTATAGGACCTAGCTAAGGTGTGTATGCACTTAATTTAGGAGACAATAGTATTGCCTACCATTTATTGTAGCACTTACGGTTAAAAAGGGAGCGTGCTCCCTATTTTACATTAAGCTAATTATCTCAAGTGTTATAGACTAATGAAAACTAGGAACAACAGTAGGATGTATGCCAAAATAAAATCTCTAACAGCCCGAAAATGAACACACCCATTTTTAAATTGCCATGGCCATTTTTTTTTAGTGGAAATGCTACTTTAAACATTTGACTAGAAAAATTCCACCTTAATCACAAGTCCCATTCATATGGAAATTAGCTTAAATATCCAAAATAGGGGCCACACCCCTTTTTTTTTTACTAGTTGTGCTACTTTAAATAGGAGACTCTCGACAATCTGAACATATTGCAAACAAAGGTTATTTATAAATGAACACATATGAGGGGGAAACATTTCAGAAATCAGACTGTGGTCATATTATGACTTATTCATGCAAATTAGCCTAAATATGCAAAATATATAGGACCACGCCGCTTTTTCATTAAAAGTGCTACTTTACAGTAGGTTAAATATAACGAATATAGCCTATTGAAAACAAGACTTTTTTTATTTTATATAAAAACACATTATGATGAGGAGATTAAATTTCAGAAATTCAACCTTAATCACAAGTCCCGTTCGCTAATTTTTTTTTTCCTGAAGAGCTAAGCATAGGGAAGTATATAAAGCGCTCTGATTGGCTAATGATAAGATGAAATCATCGCACAAGTTGGCACAAGAGTCAACCAACTCGCACTCGAATACGGATACGGTGCGAGTGAGAGTGATCTCAAGAAAGCAGTATAGGTTTGATTCACCGATTGCAGACTATTGTTTTCTCAGAGTAAGTTTTTATTACTGCATACGTAACCCACAAAGATCAAAGTGAAATTGTAAGGAGGGTGTTGCATCTCATGACTCTATCTAGGACCAGTCTAGGCAAGGCCTATCCTTGGCGTAGTTGGAAGATGGACCTACATTCCTATCCCATATCATCAATCATGATGCAAGAAAGATCAATGCAACACTTATACAATAGGTCTAGTTTGCATGACAAGTTCGCCTTCTTTTTTCTGAAGAAGTACCTAGCAGAGCAACCTGCTTAAGGCCCAAATAGTCTATTTTTTCCTATAATTCTACACCTCAATACTGTAACATAATAATTATTATTAAATAACTACCCTACTACTACCAAACTTTACTACTACTAGAGCTTAGACTCAGGCCTATTGTCCACAGCTCTCCAATACTTAAAAATAATATAATTTTAAAATTATAATGTTATACTTGACTAACAGCAAACTTGGCAATGTGAGATGCCCCCTTTCTTTATTATTCAGTTGCCTAAATTATTGGTTGTATTTTTTTTTTACCATTTTAATTTTTCTATTTTGTACTTTTATATGATGTTACAACATTTTAACTGTCTAGTCTTTTATTATAGGCCCCTATATATCTTTTTTTAATGAATATTATGTAACACAAGTAACATGCAATTTGGTCTTTGGCCACCTTATATTATTGTTTGAGATGTGATGTTTGAATAAATAAAGTAATATATTTAAATATCAACCAACCTACAAATAAGTAGCAACCCAGATGTTGTTATGTCATGACATAATAAATGGATGCACAGTACAGCACAATTAATTACTTGAATCTGGTGTTTTGTTTTTTTTTTAGGTCCATGAAATGATACCACAGAATAGGAAATTGGCCTTTTGGATGCTTCTGGATGGAATGGAGACTGGTAGACATTGCTAATATCAGAATGCATAGAACCATCTCATCATTACCTTCAACACACCCAATTCCAAATGAATGCCTAACCAAAATACATGAACAAATGTACAAAGTAAAAAGCCAGATGTTGCCTATAATGTCAAAATATGTTTAGAACATTTAGGAAAGACACAGTTGGGTAATGGAAGGTTGTGCGAAGAGAACATTGTACTGAAAATGTTCCACTGAGTACTCACATAACCTAGTGTATACAGAAAACCAAAACCTTGAAAAAAACTTATTCTTTTAAGTCAAAAAATGTATATTACACTCTTGCCAATAATAGTAATAGTTTAAACAGTATCACTTCGGGAAAATAGATATTGCATTATTTATTTAAAAAATAGATAAACTTTGTGATTGTACTAATGGTCATACATCTGCTTTTTTTACTCTTCTGTACTATTATATTTATTACTGTATTTGTTAGCTAATATTTACAAACACAATTAAGGGTTGCCTTAATTTATTATCTGGAATTATCTCTGTTAATTCACACTTTATTATATCATTTATAAGTTGGTTTTATTATCTATAATTCGAGAAAAAAGAGAACAATAAAGAAAAATAATTTTACAGATTTGACTATTTTATAATTTACTTGCTTCAATTTTTT